CAGGATGGTCTCGATCTCTTGACCTTGTGATCCACCCGCCTCGGCCTCCCAAAGTGCTGGGATTACAGGCTTGAGCCACCGCGCCCGGCCAGGTTATTTCTTTCCTTTGTTGCCCAGGATGGAGTGCAATGGTGTAATCTCAGTTCACTGCAATCTCCGCCTCCTAGGTTCAAGCAATTCTCATGTCTCAGCCTCTCCAATAGCTGGGATTATAGGAATGCGCCATCACGCCCAGCTAATTTTGCATTTTTAGTAGAGACAGGGTTTCTTCGTGTTGGTCAGGTTGGTCTCAAAGTCCTGACCTCAGGTGATCCACCTGCTTTGGCCTCCCAAAGTGCTGGGATTACAGGTGGTGTAAATCACCATGTCCAGCCTTTTTTTTTTGCGATGGAGTCTCACTCTGTCACCCAGGCTGGAGTGCAGTGGCATGATTTCGGCTCACTACAACCGCCGCCTCCCCAGTTCAAGCAATTCTCCCACTTCAGCCTCTGCAGTGGCTGGGATTACAGGCACGTGTCACCACACTCCTGTTCTAGGTTACTTCTTTTATCAAATCCTTAGTTATTTCTGAAGTGTTTTATTAAAGAGCTTAGCCTAATCAAGGTATTTTTTCCAAAAACTTTCCTGAAAATTTTTTTTCATTACCATATACTGTAAACTAAATCCTTTAGTCAGTAATTAAATAAAATGACTCACTGCTTAGATGTAATCATGCTCTCAGAACTAACACTTCAGGAACTGAATTTAAAATGAAAATAAGGGCCGAGCCTGTAATCCCAGCACTTTGGGAGGGTGAAGCACGAAGTTCACCTGAGGCCAGGAGTTTGAGACCAGACTGATCAACACGGCAAAACCCAGTCTTACCACAAATACAAAAATTAGCCAGACATGGTGGCGCATGCCCATAACCCTAGCTTCTTGGGAGGCTGATTGCTTGTACCCAGGAGGCAGAGGGTGCAGTGAGCTGAGATCACCCCACTGCACTACAGCCTGGGCAACAGAGCAAGACTCTGTCTCAAAAAAACAAAACAAGCAGCATGGATGGATCTCAAGAGGATCACGGTGAGTGAAAAAGGCCATTTAAAAGGTCATATGCTATATGATTCCATTTCTATAACATTCTCAAAGTGGCAACATTAGAGAGATGAAGAACAGATTAGTGGTTGCCAAGGGTTAGGAATGGTAGTAGGGAAGGGTGGGTGAGTGTGACTGTAAAGGAGTAGTACACTTCCTGAGAAAGAGACAACAAAAACAGAAGGTTTTTTTAAAAAAAAATTGTAAAGGGCAGAAGGCAGCACAGGGAGATGTTCACGATGTTGGAGCAGCTCTGGATCTTAATTGTGTTGGTGGTTA